TGCAGTTTGTTTGCTGCGTAGTCCACGTCTTCAGGAGTGTTAAGTTCCATTTCTATGTGCAAAGAGTAATGGAGCTCGCGCCTAAAGACTCCTAAATCTGATCCTGCTGGCAGTAGTTGTTTCCTAATGGGCAAGGGCTGTGGCTGCGCGTGGATTGTGACTATTAGTGGCAGGTGGTCAGAGGATAGGTCCAAGGATTCTTCAATGGTCAATTGCCGGTCACAGATGCCTTTGTAGACAGCGAAGTCGATTGCCGAGGGCCTGTGTCCATTAATTGGGTAACGGGTGGGGGCTCCAGTCGCCAATATGCTGAATTGTAAGTTTTGAATCGCCTCAAATATGACTTCTCCGCGACGATTCGCACTATTGCTTCCCCAAAATGGGTGCCATCCATTCCAGTCGCCGCCGATGAGGGTCTTATTCAACCTTTGGCCTAGAACCTGTTCCATGTGATGATCACACAGACCAGTGTTTGGCGGAAGATAAATTGACGCAACTTCGATCGCTCCAATAGACGTAGGCAGGGTGATGGCTGAGACCTGCATTGTTGCGTTGCAAATTGGCAGTAAAGGTGTATGCGGTATTGTTGCTCGTATGAGGATTGAGGATCCACCAAAGCAGTTTGCTCCTTCACCATGAGCCTGATAGTGTTCGTATCCGAAAATTTGTGTAGTGGGGCACTCATGAGTTTCTGTTATTAACATTATATCTATGTTTTCTTGTGAGAGAAACGCAGCCAGTTCCTGAGTCTTGTTTCTCAGGCCATTGGCGTTCCAGATACCCACACGTAAAGCCATTATTTGTAGGCAAGCTTGGTTATGATGGCCATTAAACTGTTTAGCATGGTTGCTTGTTGGGATTGTACTTCTCGCATCGCTTTGAGCTCGGCATTAATTGCGTCAAACTGACGTTGTTGTTGCTGAAGCATTTCAGTGAACAAAGTGTCACTTGTGGTATTCTTATTTGACGGTCCACCTCTAGCGGCCTGTGCGTAAGAAACACCACTAATAGGCGTTGCAAAGCTCGTGGCTTGGGTAATGCTCCGGGGCCTTGTAATTTCGGAAGCAGTACTCGGACCCGTAGACGGTGTTTGTGTGGGACTCCTTTTTTGTGCTGGGGATTGCAATTTGCGCAACCGCTTGTATACTTGGCAGCCCTTATAGTTGGCTGGGTGCTGTAACTCACAGTGCACACAAGTTGGTGCCTGGTCCTTTTCGCGGGTGCAGTCTTTGGATGCGTGTTTCCCGGCGCAACGCACACATCTGGGAGCTTTGTGGCAGTAGCGTTGTGTGTGTCCAAATTCTTGACAGCGATGGCATTGTGTCAGGTCGTTGTATCTTCTTGGCAGTTCCACTGTGCAGCGTTGCCTGCAGACAACTCGAATGTCCAAAATTTCTTTGTTGTTGGGGGCCTGAGCCACGTCAACAAAAAATATATTTAGCGGTGTTTTGTCCATACGGCTCAGTGGGTTGTGCACATTTGTAATTGTGTGGCCTTTGGTTTCCAATTCCTTTTTAATTAGTGTTGTATCAGTGCTGGAGTGAAGCCCTTTGAACACGACTCTATATGGTTTGTCCTCCTTAAGCTGGTAGCAGTGGAACTCCAATTCCAGCTTAGTAAAGTGGTCTATAACTCTGCGATAGTCCTCACTGCATTGGGTTAATACACCTATGTTATTCTTCTTTGGCTTAATTACGTATGATTTAGCATCAATTACTTTATCTATTATCTGTTGAAGTAGGGCCACAGACTTGATGTTTGGACACCATATGGGGGGCGGACGAGGTTTCGGAGTAGTTTGCTGGTCGGTCAATACTGGGGCTTCTGGAGCTACAGGTGATTCGCTGTAGTCTTCATCTTCTTCTACGAGCAGTGAAAATCGATTTTCTGATATTAATGCTGCATTGCTGGTGCTTGGTTCGTCGAAGATGAGCCTTTTCTTGATGGTTTTTGGTGAATTTGGCTGTTTACGTTTCGTGTTTTTGTTGTTAGTGATGCCTTGCACGGAGGCGATATCTATTTTTGAGTTTATTGGCATGATGGAGGCTTGCCTATTTGCCATCACAACGTTAAGCTGGGCTTGCATTTCTGCATTTACCTTTACAGCTGTAGCGAGGTTATTGACATTAGATGTCATCGCGGATTGTGCTTTTGAGTGCAGGCGCACTCGCGCCAAGCGACGAAATTTCGTAAATTGCAATTAAAGCAATTGAGTTACGCGGAAGCAAGCGATAAGAAAACGCTGCGTGTGCGGTTTTTGTTGCTGTTGCGTTGAAGAATGCACCGCAAAGTTCTATTTTTAGAACTCTGCAGCAGTAGAGCTTAAGCGAAGGCTGTTCGAATTCACGTCTTTACAGGTCGAACGACTGATCGCGATTGTGACTATTTATATAGATAAGATATATTGGGTATATATGCGGGCATGTACCGCTTATGTGGTATATAAGGGCCTTCTGGCGACAGTTCTGCGCAATTTTGTTGTTTTTGGTCTGTGCCTTTCGCTTGTCGATCTTCGGAACCCGTCAAGTGTGTCCGAAAATAGCAAGGTAAATGAAAAATCTACAAACAAATAAGAAAATCGAAAATCAACCAAAATACATAAAAGTAAAACAAAGAGCAAAGAAAATCACCCAAGAAAATTGGGAAAACAAAAAATCCGCTTTTAGCTGCCGAGCAAAATAAATAAAAGCAAATTCGCAGCGACGAAAAATAGTTGAAAAAATATACAAAAATCCAAATTTGTTTAAAACGTCAAAGATTGGGGCACTTTTTGCGTCGTCCGTGAAACATGCTATATAGATCACAGAACCCAATCTCTTATATGTTGTATGTATATATTTATATACGTGTTATATATAAGACAAATATGCAAAATGTGTGGCATTTTTATATGTCTGATAAAATGGTCTGGTTTTTATTAATAATTATCAAATGTTAGATGAATGCAAAACAAATGTTTTTCAATTTTTTATGAATCCATTAATTTTAAAATGTTTAAAATAAATTATTTTGTAAATAACAAAAATATAGTAAGAAAATTTTTTAAATTAAATATATTTATTTTTTTTATGTAGAATACGTTTTTTAAAATATATTATAAATTGGAAATCAAAAAATTAATTATTGTTAACATCTCTTAACCGTTTTCTCAAGTACGTCTTTATTAAGTTAAATGTTAACGTGACTCGTAATTGTATAACAGTTAATATATCAGCTAATAAACTGTTCGCACAACAGTTAATATAACAGTTGATATAAACGTTCATATAACAGATAATATTATTATAACATTTAATATAACCGTTTAGATAATAATTTATAAAACAGTTTGTCTGTACATTGCAGAGATTTCATTTTAATTGAGCCTAAGCTAAAATACAAATAGTATTTATAAGAGTATATATATACAGTAGTATCTGAAACTCCAAAACCTCCGAGTTATATAAGCTGTAAGACCCAATTAAGTTCAGAAAGTATTATACACTTTTATCAAAGCTATTTTTAAATTTACACATATACGCAAAAGTTAACAAATCTTCACACCTGATGTCAGGGAAAGACTGTTTCCTTTGTGACTTGTCTTGCATAATACCTGAGAGACCGCCCAGCTTGCAAACTTGTCTGTCATATTTGACACGCTGTTATTTTTAGCCAAGTACTTTGGCTGTTCATTCGCTCAGCGAATGAATAATGTGCAAGGCGCAGTCTGTTAAATGTTAGTTATCTACTATATTAAATAATACTCGATCGTAAATCACAGGAGTAGGAACTCAGCAGCTGTTCAATTGGCAATTAGGGCTAAGTGTTGCCATTCTCAAGAGTCAATAAATCAGATATAATTAACACGTGTGCGAAGATGTTGGTAGTGATGAGGTGCGGCCTGGAATGGTTTGGATATCTTGTGGTCTCAATTGGCAGCTGTTCAATAGCACAGTTCCGAGCGACTCGTCATCAGCCCTGACCTCAGTTAACTAACCAAGCGAAGTCATTAAGTGTGCGTGTGTCTGTGTGTGTGTGAGTGGGGAAGCCAAGATCGTCGGCCCAGAATTTGCTGGCAGACAGTTTGTCTGCCCATCCAGAAACTTATTGGCAAAACTCCATGATCATAAATTATGCAGTCCAAATTTGTTTACGCGCCAACGCGGCAGGTGGCGCTTTAATTACAGTGTAGAGGCATTTCCTATGTGTCGGTGTGTGTGTGAGTGCTTGGGGAAATCCCAGGACGGCTGCCAAGATTCCTCAGCACGCAGCAGCATTACGCAACAACAGAACTTGAGAGTGAAAAAAGTTCATTGCCATTGAGATTCTTTGGAAGCGAGCGTGAGAAAATCTTTCGAGATTTTGGCAAGCTACCATCTTGGCAAGCGCCCATTCCCATCGTTGCGTATTGGTCTGAGAGATCCCAACCCGCACTGCCCGCACAATTGTCGCCCCTTACCAAGCCCGTCGAGGGCTGAGAAGTCCAAAAGCCGTGACGTATTCGATGGGCCGAATCATAAGAATGCCATAAAATCAATCAATAGGAAATTTAGAGAGAACTATTATTTTATTTACTAACTTTTATGATATGCAATTAAAGGTTACTTAAATATTAATAAGTTTTCTGGCTAACATATATATACGCATAATTGAAAATCATTTGCTATTTCTAAATGTATATAATCAAGTAGATTAAGATTAGGTATAAGTAAAAACCAACTGATACTCTTTCTGTAAATGTCCTTATTTACATTGGTTTCTCATGCAATTCTTAGCAATTTTCATTTACAACTTTTAACTATATATGCATAAAATATATAATATTTATAAAAATAATATAATATATTTTATATAATATATTATAAATATATATATATATATATACATTTTATATTGTATTTATCTTCTATTAAATAAAGTTCTTGCTTGCATATAAACATGTCCATACACCTTTGCTCCTTCCACTTACATTCGCTGACTGAGCTTACTCACACTCTTTCTTTCTCCTTCTATCTTTACAGCGATGCGTTAAAGGAGCCTCGTTGGCCAATTGGCAGCCACGGCCGCTGCAGCTAGTCCTCGGTCTGACCAGCCAATGGCAGCGCGGCGGTTGAAAGTTCAAGTCGGCTGCAGGCAGCGTAATGCACTTGGCAAACGTTCAAAGCGAACAGCAAGTGGCACACACACACACACATGCAGACATGCACACATACACTCACACAGCCATTGGGAAAGCGAGCTGTGATTGCTGGGCTCACACGCGCATGAGGAAAATGTTGATAATAAATCACGCATACGCCTGTTGGCACAGCAAGAACTATGCTCCTTCGAAAGTGCTTGTGTGTGTCCCTGTGTGAGTGTGCCTCAGTGTGTGTGTGTGTGCGAAGACTTGCACAGGCTGTTGGCCAACTGCAGTGCGCTGCTCGTTTTTAGACCGGCTCGAGCGAACGTTGGCCGCAAGACAATTGCACGAACGATGCCTTCTTTGCAGGCAACGCATTGGCCGGACGAAATGCGCCCGAACGACCAATCAGAGCGCAGCTAGTGCGCAACGCCCTTGGCCAAGCATAACTCGGCGCCAACCAACTCAGCGATGCCAGGACCTAACGCTAAATAACATTATGTATATATAATTTTTTGATTTTATTTTTTATTTCTTAGCTATTGTAAGTCATTTGCCCAAAGCCTACGCCCACGGAACAACAGCTAGAGTGGGCTTTCAATACCTTATCTATGAATATATGATATACGATATATGATATTTAGACTATTACTTAAGAACTTCAAATATGACGATTGCAAAATGCGTAAGAAAAGAAAGATTAATAAAAAGTTGTAAAGCTTCCGAGCGGCACGCAAAAAAAAATTGTTGCTTATATTGATCTAACAGTCATTACTATTGCAGTGTTATGAGTATGCCGCCAATTCAAAGTCTTGGTAATTAAAATAAGTTTTCTTTAGCCGGCAAAGAACTTGCGACCGACGGAGATATTTGGTTGAAGACCAAACTAGTCGGCCATTTTAATTGCGAGGAAGTTATTCGATTAATGGAACCAAAATGTTAAATAACATCAAAGTTAAATGTTTTCCACAAGATTTTCATTATTCACTGCTCCAATTCATGGCGACATAATGAAACTATGTGTATATATATAAATTTATTATATACATTAATTTTTATAATTTTCAAGGGGCTTCCGCACTGAACTGACTATTCGACTTTTATAATAATATTTTGTTATCTTGCTCAAGAAGTTGAGGTGCGCCGCAATAATTATTTTTTAATTAAATAACCCTACGTTATTTATTATAAAAAGTTAAAATAACCTTCAGTTTGTTATATTATTTATGAGCTGTCATTGAAACGAAGTATAGAGCGTGGATGTTGGTAAACAACTTGACTGGTATTTTCACTTTTCCATTTCAAATGTTTGCCGATTAAAAAAGCTTGGGTTAAAAAGACAACCATATTAACAGCAAGCAAACTATAGTTTTTGGGTACAATCACAACTGAATAACGTGACCAAATCAATCCTGTTGTGGCGAGTACTCCCGACTGATTGAGAGATACATTTTGGGGTGGGCGTTTAACCAGATCTCCAAGTCCAGCAAGTACCAAACCCTAGGGCAATCTCGTAATTTGAAGATTTACAAATTTTACATTGCTTTTTCTTCACTTACCCATTTGCCAAGGGGGGCCCAGAAGAAAACAGTTTTCGGACCTAATTGGTAAATATTTTGGGAAATTGTTAAAACTGTGATAAAATGGTTTACACACCTGTCGGAGCTTCCCAGAATGGTCGAGCGGCCTGCGGTACTACTTTGTCAACGGAATTAATAACAACATTGTATACTTTTGACAATGGACCTGTCCCTTTTGTCATGTCGTTATATATGTGTATATATATTTGCAAATATAAATATATATTTTTTTTAATTCAGCTGAACTGATTTAGAATTTTGATTAGGAATATCTCCGGTCTTTTGAGTCCGAAACCACAATCTCTATAGAGACTCAAACATATTATAATACTTATACATGGGTTACTAGTTGACAATTTTTAAATGGATAGGTTGTTCTGTTCTGTCTCAAGTAAATTTTTCCTAACAAATTGAATTACATTGAAAAACAAATTTAAAACGCGAACTCGAGAGCGGAAAACGCGAAACTGAGCGCAAATAAGCAAATTGCGTATGTGGTAAATAAGTGTTTTGTTCTATGGTCACACTGAGTTTTAAACAGCTGCTTGCGCACGCAACATGTGAATGGTAGACAATTGAAAATTTAAGGAAATTTATAAAGTTTAGAAGTTTTGTGCATTGTTTTTATAATATAAACTTATACTATACTTTTACTTATACTTATACTTATACTTATACAGTAGCAATTTTAATTGCTACAAGAAAACATCTGACGTTGAGAAACAAAGTTTTTTCTGTTGATTTAAAAATGGATTCATTTCGAGAACGAAGTAAAATGCTGCTGAATCACAAGAGACTAAAGCGAATGCCAATTAATTTACGCAAGAAAGCAATTAGAGAGGCACGGAACTTGGCAGGAATGCAACAGCAAGAAAAAAGTCGTAAAAGGCAACCAAAATCAACGTCAACTCCAGCTCGCTTACAAAACGACTTTGAACGTGCTGAGCATAATGCAATGCTTTCCGCAAGCTCACAGGAGTTGCAACGTATTCTGTCGGAGTTCGAGGAGCTGGCTGATGTACCCTACGATGCAACACCGGCTGAACTTTTGGGTCTGGTATGTGAATTTTCTTACATTAAGAGCATTGCATGCAAGCGCTTCTCATGGTAACATTCTCCGAGAGCAACCTATGCCGGCGACGTCACAACATTTGCGCACTTTTTAGCGCCACCTTTCTACGCCTGTTCGATCGGCAAGTCAATTAGCATGCTTCGTCACTTTCGTAGTTGGTTGACCTACTCCGGTAGCAGCTGCTAATTGATGGCCAGAATCATAAATGTTATGGCAGCTGATGCCGTTAAATGTTGCCGTTAACTACAATGCATATATATTTCATAATTTCAGATTGCCCAAGCGGAAAACCGAGCCACAACCATCTACGTGCAACGCGACGGCCTTAGCACCCTCAAGATCATGGTGAGTTGTTTGTTCAAAAAGAAATCCACCTTTCCATTAACCTCACAGCTGTTTGCACTCGTTAGCCATTCGATTGATTATTTACATACGTATATAGTTGTGTGTGTAGTCATTTATGTGCGTATCAATCAATTTGATTAATTTCCAATTCGTGCAAAGTTCTATATTGAAACTGGTGAAATTTTCGCTGTCTATGTACACAGTATTTTATTATCAAACCAAAGGGCATACATCAATTTAGAATTGGAGCAACGAAAATTAAGTTTAAATATTGGAGGATATTTTAAGCTGTGTTACACATTTTTGCAACTGCGTACTGTTAAGGCTAATTAGTTTTAGATTAGATTTTCTATTAAATTTCTTAAAAATTGGCTAAAGCTCATATAATTTATTGATTTATTTTTTATTTTTTTTTTACTTCAAATATAATATAATTTTTTTTTTCATATCATCTAAAAAAAAAACAAATTATTATGCTAAAAAGTGCTATCAACTTATTAACTGTTTTGATTTTCTTATGCCAATAATGTACTAAATAGAAACTAAATATTTCTAATTGCAACTCTTGCATTTCGTACGCTCTTAAACCGTCGCATGCAATCCGAGCACATACTCCAAAATACTAATATGCTTAACTTGTATTTTTTTTCACACCCTCTCTATTGCTCTCTTCGCATTCTTTGTGAATTTTAGCTCCATCAGCGCTCTCCGAGCGTTGCCCAACTGAAAAAAGCAATCGCTACAATCTCGTGTGCTCAGCTGAAACGAAGACAACGCGAGCGACGTCGGGCAGCAGACGAAGTCAACGCTGGTCGTACCGAAGACGCGAGCCGACAACAAGTTGTGGGATCTGCTGGAGCTAAAGTTTTGCCTCGCTCCAGCGGCGAGTTAGTTAATTCGGCGCTGCGCAACGGGCACGAACATCGCGCGCTTGTCTCTTGGCGTTTTTTATGGCGTTGCTTTGCACTGTTCAACGTGGATACCAATCAGCCGATCGATGACAACGTTGACAACGGGCGCGCGACACTAACGGCACTGGGCATTGAGAACGGGGCCACTTTGAAGTTTGTGCATCGTGTCAAGTATTTCGGTCGCAAGCGGCAGAGCTAAGAACAATTATAATACTAGGAAGGCACATTTCTACATCCATCCAATGAAAAACAGCCTGAGTCTTGTCCAAACCACAGCCATTAGAGATAATGGAACATAATGCAATACAACTATTTGGCATTTTGCTGATCTATACATTTGTGCGGCTCTTGGCAGCGCCAGCCTTCGATGATGGCAACAACAACAATGTCAAAATCACCAAGCATAGTCTGGAGCTCACACAGACGATTAATATACAACGTCAGGAGTTTATGCAGCGACAATGTGATCTACTGGATGCCGACATGCAGACGTTGGATGATCTTACAGAACTGCAAATGGATCACATGATTGTGGATAAGGAGCACAAACTGCTCTACTGCTACGTGCCAAAGGTACCTGCCATAAAGTTACTTAATTTAAAGTTGCTTCGTTATTTTTTTTTTTAATTATTTCGCTAAATTAGTTTTCTGATTTTAAGCACACTTTGCTGAATTTTATATTTAATATACCCTATGCTTATTGCAAAATCTAGCGGAAGAGGGTAGTATAGTTTTCCAGAGTGCTGCTTAGTTTTTAAACACCTGCTTTCCCAACTGATTACTTTACATAGGGAACATAGGGAGTATTAATTTATTGAATCAAAGATTTTGTTGTCCTACTTTTTATTCAAGGCATTCATTCAAGTGTTTCTGGCACCATTTCCCTGAGTAGATAGAGGGTATTTCAAGTTGAGCACTTGAAATTCGTAAAATTTTGTTTATTTTTTTGTTCTTTGCGGACTGTCCGTTTCGCCTTCCGCTTGCGGCTGTTCAGCGTGTTGCGTGTTTATATGACCCTTTGTCAAATGTCCCCCGTCTACACATACAAAAAAAGAAAAAAAAAAATAAAAAAAAAACTTGTTTTAGATCTTTTCAACTCCACGTTTTCTCTTTTATGAACCGGCTGGTATTTGATACTGGCTAGAGGCAGTGCCATAGCTACCGCTTTGACCGGCCTCTAGCACTATATTCTTGCAACATGTGGCATGTTGGTAATCGATTTCGATTTCATTGTTGTTCCGTTTTCACCAGACTCGTTTCACTAGACAACTTGAAGACAAGTGACACAACCTGATTGCTGGTATTAATTCAAGAGCCCGAGGGAGCTTATCAGGAGACAATTTATTAATCTTGGGCAAGCAATTGAACTCCCATGTCGGTGATAGAGGCCGATTTCGAATAGATAACCTTCCACAAACCTCTGTTCAATTATAAATTACATAGTATACAATATTGAATTATAATATTTATACTATACCTTGTAAAGAGAGTCTTGAGAGTGGGTATATATCGCATACGAGCAGGCAAAGGCGTCAGGTAAATGTATATGTAGTATAACTATACATTCATTGCATATATATATATATATAGCTCTCATAATCTTAAGTTTTAGCTTCAGCTTAAGTCGATTTGAAGAAATCGAGTTCTGGCTAATCTATTATTTTTAGTTAGAGCTTATAATTAGTTGTTCTATTTCCAACTTGAAACAATATTATTTTTATATACAGCTGTTTCAGATGATCGAGAGATTGGGCGAGTCTTAGACTTTCTGACTGCCTCATTGATAAGCAATGCGCGAATTTATAATTTATTGAAGATGAGATACAATTTTTGTTAAGAAATTTATTTGCTTATCGGCGTAACCTTTTGCTCGATTTAATGACGCCCATTGGTCATAATCAAATGATTTGTCTTTTGCTTTGCTTTTTAATTAAATTTCAAGTTAAATGTGCGCTCGATAAACATCGAAACCTTGCCTAACTTAATTCAATTAGGGAAAATTTATAAAACCAAGAATTCATAAAAAAGAAGCATTTCCTCGACTACTGCTATCAACACTTATTCCACAGTATTATACGAACTATTTGATTAGATTAGGCAGCCAACTGTCGAATTGCTCACCTGCTCAAGGTGTAGCATATAAATAGCGACGTTGTTTCATATATCCGACGCACTTTGAACCTTCCCACAACATAATGAGTATTATTTCGTTGTGGAATGGGACTCAGATTGCGTTTGCTTATTGCTGATTGAGTAATGCGGGCTATGACGTATGCCATTTGGTAGTGGCGCCACTTATGAGCCACAGGCAGTAACCAATTTTGTTTACTCTATAAATTTTACGAAAGAACTTACCCTTCTTAATGTTACACTAATTGGATGTCTTAATACCCTGTAAATGTATGTAGAAGTCAGTGATCTAGTCTTGAGCTAGAAATTTGACAGTTGAAGTATATGTTATGGAAAACCCTATATATTTTAAGATTCAGTTAGTTAAAGTAAATACTAATTTTGAATATCTCTGCTTTGCACACTCTATGTAAATCTGGAATATCTGAAATCGAATGCCTAAAATACAAATTTTATGCAAAAGTCAAAGTAGCTTCTAGTCGAGCAGTCCTTTAGAGCATCTCTGTTATTTGGATGCTGTTTGCGAATGGTTTTGCTAATTCTTTTATTAAGAAATACATTTCAACTAATGATTCATTCGGAATAATATTTAAAATATTTATATTAAAATCTTAAAGAAACTCATAGCTTAGTTTATGATAATAGGAAAGCATATGCAAACAGCTTCTATAAAATTATCATAAACGTAAATAGCTAGATAGTATGACTGACAAGTCACACGTTAATTAGTTAATTGCTAAATGCGTGAGTTAGTAACTATATGAATGGCAGCGAAATAGACTTCAGGTTAGACAGACACGGCGCCATATCGCATTGATAGTCGCAATAGTGGGCGTAGCTCGCGCACATTTTGTTTTATTAGCTGTTATTAGTTATCAATGCACAGAGGCATAGTGAAATCTTAAAGCCAAGCTTGAGGGGATTATATATATATGTATATAAATAGATAAAGCACGTCAAGTTTGACCGTTTGAATTCCGCTTAGATACAATTTGAAGCAAGCTGGCCCTTGTTCCGCGAAGTCGTTAAGATTTGCTCTTAGGCCCGCCTCGCCTCGCCACACACTTTTTATTCGTAGTTTTATTACCTAAAGAAATTGTGTAAAATTATATTTTATGATCGCTTACGGATTGCAAATATTTTTTTTTTACGTTAACACATTGCTGAACCTGAACCTTAGCCGCGATTTCGCCGTCGTCATTTGTGGCACGCACAGTGGTACGCTGTCAATTGTTTTTGCTGTCCGCGTGAATTGTTTATGCTTTGATTTGTGTTTATCTCTCAATTTGATTGATGCATTTTTGCTTTTAACTGACAACTTGACGTTGATTCAGAACTCGATCCGGGGGGGAATGCATGCTGTGCACCACAGTGGCAAACAGTCATACTCGTTCATCAGGTGAAGCTAGTATATTGGTTTTCTGAAATGTGGGTCTGTTCGCTAATATTGTAGCTAGAGACTTTAGACTTGACAGGTGTTTCTATTCAAGTTTGCCATGGTATTTTGGATTTGCCCACAGAGAATGTGGTATATAGAAAAAACGATGTCTTCCAAAGTGAAAGAGCTAAGATAGCCAAGTTTTGGAAATGGTTCAGTGTTTAACTCATCGACAAATAGATATTTAAATGTCAGTATTCCGATAAGCCTTGCTATATTCTTGACCCCCAAACGAGTATTATGCAGTCGATTGCAACAGTCTAACTTTGTTTTGTATATGAATTGTTTGTTTTTGTGATTTGAAATGTTTTTGCCGCGTTTAATTACTCTCGGCATTGCCTAAGCGAATTGTTTATATATTTACTTGAAATAGCTGCCTGCTGCACTTGTTGATATTATTGTTGTCTAGTTATAGTTAGTTGATTCGCTAAGTGGCCGTCTCTCGGCGTAATTAAGAAAATTTACATGCATCAATTAAACCACATTTTTCGCTAGCTAAATTACGATTTATAACCATTGGCAGTTAAGAGGAAAGTTTAAACACATAGAGAGAGATGTGTATGTACTTATATAATTCTCATTCAATATTCATATACATACATTTTGAACTTTCGTTGTTATAATTATCATTTCACAGGCCTTTGCACTTTGCTCGCTGTGTATTTACTTTCTACAGTTGAAGTTGAAGACATTTTGCACAGTCGGCTCAAATTCCAATTAAAAAAGACTTTTGTAATCATATCTATATGTGCTTTATATATCATTATGCCCGCCTTTGATTTACGATAAGTTGCATGCATACATAACGCGGAAGATATAGGGAAAACTAAGAAAATATAACTGGTTTCCAAGCGACTATGAAAAGCTTTCCAATGAGTATATTCGATGCAGTCTAATTTGCTCAAATAAACACTAATTTCTAGGAATTAGTTTTTTTTATAGTCTATATATTTGTTTTGCAAATCAAATTTGAATAAGAATTCTTGACTTTATACTTTAAATTCAGGTTTCAATATCCTTAAGAAACATTTTTCAGATAAAATTCAATTTCCGTGTCAAGTCAATTCAAAGTATACCTTTATCTTAAGCAGAAATATAGTTTTTTCTATAAAAACAAAGTTAGAGTAAAAAAGTATCTAGACTCAGGAAGCACGTATATTCGCCTAGCACGCTTATCGCTTATTTAATTTCAATTGAAATACATTTAAATATATATAAACCTAGAAGATTCCGATTCATTGACAAGTAAACATTTTATATTCTGGTAAATAGATTTCATAGGAAAAGCAGAATACATGTGCGGTTTGTGGCCTCATTCAAATAAATGTTTATTTAGTTAAGATTATAAAAAAAAAAGATCTGGGCTAAACAAAAAATGTTTTATTTGCTTCATTTTCTTGTGCTTAGGTGGCCTGCACGAATTGGAAGCGGGTGCTGATGCTCTTGATGGGCAAATGGCAGAACGGCACGGATCCTTTGCTAATACCTGGTTCGCTGGCCCATTCTGTGGGCATGTTCACCAAGTTCTATGATCTCAGTGAGGAGGAGCGCGCTCAGGTGCTCAGTGAGGACTATACACGCTTCATTCTGGTGCGGCATCCATTCGAGCGGCTGCTCTCTGCGTATCGCAACAAGCTGGAGGGAGGTTCTCCTAGTGCCAGGTACTTTCAGTTGCGTGTGGGTCGACAGATTGTGCGCGAACTGCGACCGGGCGCTAGTAACGCGTCTCTAGATCAGGGCAACGATGTTCAGTTTAGCGAGTTTGTGCGGTATCTGCTAACGCCGAGGCTAAGTCGCACCAATCAAACAGACTACAACGAACACTGGGAGGTGATTGCCAAGCTGTGCAATCCCTGTGTCATGAAGTACAACGTTGTGGGTAAGTAGCAATTGGGAATGCACAAATATGTGTATTTACTAATGATTCTATCCTATTTTGCAGGCAAATACGACACTTTACTGGATGATTCCGCCTTGGCGCTCTATCTGGCGGGTGCCAAGAACTTGACATTCCCTATCGGCCACAAGCAGTCCAGCACACGTGCAAACCTAAGGAAATACTTTGACCCACTACCAATTGGCGCTATACGTCGTCTATATGAAATCTATGAGGAGGACTTTCGTCTATTCGACTATGGCATGGATGATGTCTTAGGCTTTGAATTCGGCTGATAATTCTCTGAATATATACATATATGAAATAAGCGAAAATGTGTATAAAAATTATTTGTTCGCCAATGTCCATGTAATGAACACTTGGCATGCTTATGATGTGAATATCCATGTCACTTACCTTTGTAACCATGACGCTTTCCAATGGAAAACTGTGTGATTTTAGCATAGAGTTAGCATAAGCTCAACAAATATTTACTTACAATTGTTATGTAATTCTTTTGCATTTAATTCAGCGGCATGCGAATATTAGCTTAAAATGGTCAAATCTAAATCTAAAGCAATTTTATGTTAGAAATAACACTAATTAACTATAATATTATTTTATTTTCTATTCATAAATTACCTTGTATAGTATGAAAAATGTTGTGTCTTCGAATATCATGAAATATGTTTTTGGATTTCGCTCTCTATTCCATGGATATTCATTTGCTACACATATATCTTAGAGCTCTCATTGATAGGTATATAAGAATTTAGTATTAAATATATTCCAAATATAATATTATAATATTAATAATTTAAATATATATATATATAAATATAAATAAGGATCGTCGCAATTGTAAATTTAAATCTTTTAGCTTTTAATGCTTTCTAATCGTTCAAATGTTATTATGTTTTATATTTTCAGTTTCAAAATCTGACTTACAAAATAAACGGGGTTTGAGCTTTGAATTACTGTAATGTGGCTAAACGAATCCGTTTTCCGTTTCTAATCTTATATATTATCAAGATAATTGATAAATGTATCAATTTCAAACTGTTATATCTTACTATACAAATTAATAGATATTTACTAAATGAATTTCGTTGCTAGAAGTTGGATAGAAGATAGAAGTTGCTAGAAGTTTGATAGTCTGTAGTCCGATATTTGTAAGCTTTAAATAAATCAATTAATATGGTAACTAATAAGGAAAGGAAATCAGTATTTGCCATTTCGTGGCGCTTTTTTTTTCATTTTTCTCGGCATCAATGAACCTTCCTTATCAGGTGTGTCGCTCGTAAATGACGTGATAAAAGGCTTTTTATAGTAACATTCCACGAACGTCGACGTTGACAAGCTTTTGAGATTACATGTCAAGCCCTCCTGAATTCTCCAGAAGCTTTCATCGTCATGCATGTATACCCTACCAATGATGATAATGTAATGGATATACATATGTTCTTTTAATATCTTATGAAAACACTGCTTGTATCTTTAGATATGTATGAGCAAAACAAATGTTTGAGAATTACTTGAAGTTCATGAATCATGTAGCAAACAGCTTTTTATAGTGTACACAGCCGCTACGATTGTAGGAATAAAAGCTAAATTTATTGACGGCGGCGGCAGCGTTGTTTATCACCAACACATAGACAGGGGACAACATAGACGGATAGATGGCCAGCGTACAACTGAATTTAAATACGCAATTTTTGTCAATAACAAAGTTCAGGCGCCGCAGTCGAACGCATTCTGCACGATCATCAACCCGTGGCAATAATTTGGCAACGGTATCCAACGGTTTATCAGCAACAACAACGTGCCCCCACAATAACTCAAGGTCATTTATTAATTTTATACATACATATTTATATATGTGTGTGTCTTTAGCATGTTCACTGACTGTTGCTTTTATTCAACAATAACTTAAAGTTAAACATTGACAAGACATTCGAAAATAACAATTAATGTTTCGCATGTGTGTTGGTTTCAATAGGTGTATGCCTGTGTGTGTGTGTGGTTATACATTTGGTTTTGTTTTCGAATTAGCAATAAAAACAAAAAAAAAACATATTTTATGTATCATATTCTCTTTTTCAGTCCTTCATTTTGCATTTCCGCCTTAATCATTATAGCGTTGCTTCACTGTACGATACTTCTTCAGCGAATACAACGCCTCCACCTCCTTAGCGAGGTATCGTCCCTGTGCCAGCAGAGCGACGATCTTTTTAGGATCTTGCTCATCTTTATTTTTCATGAACGCATCGTGAACTTGCTTACGAAACTTTTGCGGCCCATTTAGGCCGGGGTAGTCACGGCCCAGGTATTGTAACTGCAATGGAATTTACGCAACTTTATTACCGTTTCCCCCTTCACAAGCGCCTTTGCTCCACAATCGCTGCTGCAGCAGTGCAGCTGCACGTGTTTTCTGCTGGCAACTGTTTGTGTTAATACTTACGTGCTTATAGAGAGTGATAACTTTTGAGCGCAGCTGTGACATCACCAGTAATAGAAGGTATTTGTATAACTGTTAAATGCAAAATATAAACTAAACCTTTATACTGTTTGTTGCTTTACACTCGGTGCTCAGATGACCAATGCTGAAAGACTGCCGTGTGACCGTTTATGAAACGGTTATACTATCGATAGTTCTTTCGCGAATGAATATACGGCAGCGCCGCGCAGAGATTATAAATAATTACTGTTGTCATAAAATACAAATATGAAATTTATAAAAAATATATAAGTAATATATACTGGTATTTTATAGGCAAATAACTATTTAATTGAAAGTTTAATTTCAATTTCGTCAATAAATGACGTAGCTTGTTATGGCATAGCGATAGTACGTGTATTCAAGCAACCTTATTATTTCGACTATTCATGTGACAGTTAAGTGCTACAAATCAGTTGGCAGCACTCGTTTCAATGTTCGTGTCGGCCGGCCGGAATTTAGCTGGACTTTTTCGGTAGACTGCGCAGTAATAAAACTCAATTAATTTAAATTATTTTAATTTGAAATTTCGTAGTTATCGCAGCATTTCAACTACCTGCGCCAGAATGGCAAATGAGGTAGAGAAGGCGCAGAGCGCTGCAGCATCTGAAGACACAATTTTCGGCAAGATTTTACGCAAGGAAATTCCATGCACTTTTATCTACGAAGACGAGAAAGTAGGTACAAAGGGCAATTATGATCTATTTAAGTATTATTATCTGAATTGCTTTGTATTTAGTGTGTGGCCTTCAATGATGTTGCACCTCAAGCGCCAACCCATTTTTTGGTTATACCACGCAAGCCGATTGCGCAGCTCTCCACAGCCGAAGAGGGAGACGCCGAGCTTTTGGGTCATTTGATGATGGTGGGCCGGAAGGTGGCTAAGCAACAGGGCTTGGAGAAGGGCTATCGTGTGGTCATCAACAATGGGCAGCACGGAGCCCAGTCCGTCTATCATTTGCATTTGCACTTCCTGGGCGGCCGCCAAATGCAGTGGCCACCAGGCTAATGATGTCGTCTTGAATCAAACCAGATAAAAACGATTTAAGAAAATAAATACACCTTATTAAAACTAAAATAGCAAAATGTACAAAATATACAGATAAAAGCATGTAAATTCAGTAGCGTCTAGCTGGAAAAAATTGTTTGAAATCGACGGCATTGTTGAGAAATTTGTGTAATTTGCCCTCGTTGCGCGATTTCTCGGCAAAGCTGTCGGTGTCCAAGCAATTGAGCAATATCTCCTCTGTGCCCAATTGGCTGGCAATGCCGCCCGAGCGGCGCAATCGGCGCGTTTTCAACATATCCAATTTGGTGCCCACAACTAGGATGGGCACATGGCGACGCCTTAATATGGGCCGCAGACGCTTGTGCCGATATCGGCAAATCTGGCGCAAGGGATGGTACAGCAAGTCGTGCAGGCTATCATGTGTGCGCATGTCTAACAGATCGTACACTAATATAATGCCATCGATATTCCGGTATAGGCGATTCCGATGCTCGCGCGCCATGCGCATGGAGCTCTTTATATCATAAAATTCCACAAAATATGGAATCATCTCACATGCGCTGGCTGCCCGGCTTCGAAACTGTTTATACGAGCCACAGGGCTCGGAGCTGTGCGACGAGGAACTGGGCGATGAGGACGATGTCCACTCGGGTGTGGGCGGCATGCCTTTATTCGATGGATACTCGTGCAGGCGTACCTGCACGTTCCACCAGACGTCGCCGACGCTCCTGCTGGAGGGCGTGGGCGTGTCAACGCTTCTGGCCAAAAGATCTGTTAGTTGCGACTTACCAACACCTGCAAATTAAGTGTGTAATTCAATTTGATTCGAAGGACATTTATTAGTATGATGGGTTACCAACCTGCCTCGCCGAGTAGCAATATGCGAGCTGTGGGTACGTGTTGTATTGTTTGTTGCGCCATTATTGTTCCAATTAACTTGTAAATATGTATATTTCAAGCCTAATTGCTGTCAAATGTATTCAATTGCATGTGTAACATGCCAACTATGATCATATTAAAAATTTAATTGTGAAAATTCGTTTGGCGGTTTGACAATCGAAATTGGTTATCGAAATTCTTTTTAACATTTCGATTTCTCTTCCTTTATAGAAAGCTCTACTAGTTGCAGTAACACCGCTTATGCAAGTCACATTATGCCTGCACATTGAGCAGCCATCTTCATTTATATTTGTGTATTGGTTTGCAGGCACGCAAATTAGCTTAGAGTTGGCGCGAAATTTGAAATTTCAATTCTGAAGTCTTGTCAGATGAGAAATAAAACGATTTAAAAAAGTAGTTTTAATAGTTTCAAACATTTGTTTATTCTTTATAAACGTTCATCATTTCATGTCATTTCATTTGTGTGTTCACATCAGTGTGTTTGTGGTAATATATCTACAGACGCCGTTATTCTCGGTGTGCGGCTGGAGAGTCCGCATACATCTGCTATCTGACTTAAATTCTTTTTTTTTAATTTTGTTTTATTTGGAAATAAAATTATATACTTTTTGCTCGCAATACAGTTGCACTATATATATATATACATATAGATATATACGTATATATAATGTAGTATGCAGTTTAATCAATAATATAATTAAATCGTTTTCGTTTCGCAGTTATTCAGTTTGCAATTAAGTTTTGGTAAGAGCTTTTAAAACATATACTTGTAAGTATTATGTATACTATTATATACGATTTTCTTGTTGTTCTTTTTTTGTTTTATCTTTCATATAGTAAATATAATTTTTTTAAAATTCGAAAAACAGCTATAAACAGTTTATCATAAACAACAAAACTCCGAAACGAGCTTAATGATGTGGTGAGTCTCATTGTGGAGACTGTGGTGAGAATGGTGGTGTCGTGGTGTGTTGCATGGGATTTCGATAGACGATACCCGATACCCGAAGTAACGGTTAAATACTTCAATTGTGTAAACTAATGGAGCTGTCCAATAACGGACCACATTCAATATATGTATATATGTATATGCATGTACATAGGATGCATTTTGCCCATGCATAGGTATGTATTATCTATATCTGTTATGGTTATTCTTCATACTATGCGGTGCTGTACTGATTATGTATAAATCTTCCATGTTTACTATTCTGTTCAACATATATATATGTATATAAAATGATTTTGCAATTTGCCGCAGATTGTTTGCCTATGTGGGGTATGTACGCATGTATTTATGTAAATATGTATGTTATGTATGTTATGTTATATTCCATATGTATTTTTGCATATATTGCGCACGCGATGTGGCCTCTAACTTATAATTCAACATCAAACATTTGCCCTATATTTTGGTATACCTAGTTTATACTTATATATGCCTTGCTTGCTTTTTATCCGTATATGTATATGTTACATACGACAGACACACGCCTCTCTATGTACGTATGCATGTGTGTGAGTGCAAAGTCCTCTGTCAGCTTCCTTCCATTCAATATGCCAATTGTTCAGGTGCACTATATATATATATATTTATGTATATGTATGTATATAGTATTTTTTGTTGCTTTTTTATGTTTTAGGTTCTTTTTTGTTATGGCTTGTTATGGTTGTTAAATGCATTTATGCCTGATTTATCGAATATAAATTACATACATAAATATCTAAAAATAAAAATACATGGACATCTACAGCATTGTGGTATTTCCATTAACTATTATTTATATACTTTTCATATTGTTATTATTTTTTTGATTTTTCCTTTAAAGTATTTTCTTTTGTTTTCATCTACTGATTTGTGCTTTTGTGATGGCTCCTGCGCTGCTGCTGCTGGCATTGAAAAAGTTTCGAAACTAAACAGTTACATAGACTGGGGTATGCCTAACGGTATACATGGTGCATACAGTGATGTATGCCCAATGGTAAACATAGTACATCCATGTATTCATTTATAACATTTGTTGTAGTTTTCTTTTCTTTTTTTTGGTCAGTTCATGGGTGTCTCGGTGTGTGTGTGCGTGTGAGTGCTTGTGTGTATGTACATGTAGTGTGTTTAAATACACTGTTCTACAAAATTGTGTACAGCGTGTGGAAATAAATATAACCAAACTGAAGAAAAACGCAAATGAATTTTCTTTTCTTCTGATAATATTCATAGTATATATATGCATATATATATATATGTGTGTATGTGTGTATACACACATACATAAACAGATATATATAGTCATATGTATATCCATATGTCTATGTATATATATATATATATCATTTGCCTTTTATTCATTCATCAGTTTAAATCAATAATCAACATCATTTTATATAATTCCATATAATTTGTTTAATATTCAAGTATTTTGTTTATGTTTTTCATATATATAGGTTGTTTTTGTTGTTGTTGTAAGTTTTGTGTCGTTTGTTTAGTTTTGATAATTTACAGTAATTATTTGGAAAAGCAAAGTACATATTCTTTTTTTATATATATATTTTTTTGGTTTTTTATGAACAATATTTCGTTAGTTCTCGTGGAATTGTTTTACGGGGTCTTTAAGACATTTATTTATGCATTTATTTCGCGTAATTTAGATGAATTATATTACATAAATATTTTTGCTTGGTATTGTATTCTGTATTGTATATGTGTGTGTGTTTTTTTTCTTTTGCCTTGGTGAACATAACTACAAACTGTGTGCGGGACTTTGTAGATCCCCAGCTACGCATTATAATTACTTTATAATAATTATTATAATTTTTATATACCATTTTTTTGTTTTTTTTTTTACAGGACAAAAACAGCTAATTTAATAGTTAATTCATTACTTGCAATATGGAAATAATCAATAATAATTATGGCCAGCTCTCAATTTTTGGAATATGCTCGCAATTAAACTAATTGTTTACAGCATATTTAAGAGTTTTTCTTCTAGTTTGCCAGTTTATTGAGTGGGTATATATATATATATATATATATATATATATATATGTATATTGTTTAGATTTCACGTATATATATATATATATGTTTATATATATGCTTGAATATAATATATAAATAGTAATAACTATTATTGTTCTTAATATTTCTTGTTTTAACATTGTATTTTTTTCTTTTTTCCATATTAATAATCATTTATTTAGTATGTATATATAATATATGTTCATTATGATCTAATATGCTTCTCCAAAATGATGACAAATCAAATACGAAAAAGTTTTAGAGTATTAGAAACCTTAAGAGTTCGACACAAAGCAGAACGCAACTCAAAGCGAAATCAGCTAAAGTTGGGGGTTTTTTTTAAAGAATATTCATAGAAATTAGGATTTAGAGTTAGTGTTTGATATATAAGTAATTTGCTTTAACTGATGATATATATTCCATTGAAATCACGCTTTAAAGTTAAACTTTTCTTGTATTTGCTTTTATGTTGCTGATGTTATTTGTTTTTTGTGTTCTAATTATTATTAATTTTTTATATATAGCTTTTTTCGCCGATTTGTGTATACATAACATAAGTCTATGCAAGGGGTATACATAAATTATTTATATATAGACTCGCAATATAATTTAGTTTACTTTACTTTTATTTTTCTTTTTTTTGGTTTCTTTTCGGTTTCTTTACTCAATATGTCTGGCATGTACTCTCATATATATATATATATATATATATATATATATATATATGTTTGATGTTGCTTTTGTTTTATTTACTTACACAGTTATAGTAATACATAATGTTCAATAATTAAATATAAATAAATAATTTACATAACAGTTTATTTTAATTTCTTTTTTTTTTATTATTTCTAATATGTTCATCGATTTACTAATAAATTGTAAACAGTTTGCTTTTGGTTTTGTTTTTATCCATTCAATTAAAATAAAAATGAAAAAATTTTAAAAATTAAAAATTTAGTTTCTTCTTTCATCATTAAATCAATGTTTGAATATATATATATGTATATATATATTGAGTATATAGACTTTTGGAATTTAATTTTTAACATACTCTTAGAATTTGTTTTTCATTCATTTCATTTAACTATATTTCTTTTGCTTCAACAATAAACGAATATGAAATGAGATCTGTTAAATTTTAATGAAAATTTGTAATTTATATTTTCTTACTGGACACAAATTTGTTGATTAGAACTGAAGCGTTTAGTTCTTATTGGAATGGAATGGTTTCACTTGTTTTATTACATATATTTTATATCTTCTGTATGAACTGCACGAAAAGAACAATTTGCATTAACTACGATATTTTTTATTGATTGTTGTTTGGTTTTTGTTTTCTCGATTTTTTTGCTGAGGTTCTTGATGATCCGACGATCCGATACGATTTCAATGTTGACGGCTTGCTTGAGTTCTCTTTGGTTATTTCTTGCTTCTTTCATATGTTATATATGTATGTGTGATACTAAGGTGTGCTGTTATTCTGAAAATAAAATATATGATAGAGCAACGATCATAGATCTTAGAAAAATATTCTATTGCTAGCTACCTGCATTGATCAGCTGTGTAGCGTTTACTTCATATTCTTTAGGATTTCATCAGTTTCCTCGGGATCTTTGAGAGTGTGCCATTGTGCTATGGGTCGACGTGGCGAGGCCAGCATATCGGACCAATGGCGCAGTTCGGTGCCGGTGCCCATACAGCCAAGTATACAGCGTCCAATCGGCTCGGAGGTGCCAATACGATCGTAATCCACAACGGTAACAACAAGACAGATTTTCTAAACAATTTCCAAATTGTGGGCAATGGCAAAAAGCAGAGCGTTAGTGTACTTATAATCAAAACAATATTCTTCATCTAAACGGTCTCTTGAAACGGGTGGGTGGAACTGCAATGCGTTGAGCATAGAACTTGGTGGCTTTTGTTGTTTGGATGGAAGAACTTTTTGCCGAGAGATAAACGTGTTCTGTATATTGCCTTCTCTTTTGATTATTATTTTGTGGGGTTTTTTGAGTTGGGAGGGAACTGTTTTTTGTTGTTTCAGGCAGGCAGACACACACTACGAATTCTGCATTGGAAATCATTTTACATAGGCATAGT